TCTTTCCTGGCTCTGCACAGTGCATAGAGGAGGTAAATAATCCATACCATCCATGAAGGTGAAACAGAAAGCCCCACTGGTGCACAGGCCCTGCTCTTGGACCCATACGAAGGAAAGTGAGACCTTGACCGCCTCTCCTGCATCCCGCTCTCCAAAGAACCGTGGATTGCAACTGTACCTGGTCCTAGCTCAGCTCTGTGAGGTGAGGGAAGACTTCTTGTTCACCTCGTCCAGATCTGCAAGGAACGACCAACAACCCCGCCTCTACAACGAAACAAAAATACTTGTCCAAACGATTTTTACCTTCCCTCTTCAGCAGGGAATTGTATGTAGCTGTCACGGCTAATTTTGTAGAAGTTCTCTTTGGCCACGAAGCTTGGAAGCCTTCTACTCCGGTCACCCATGAGGAAATCCAGCCAGCACTTACAGACACCTCTATACGATGGAACGCCGTAGGAATGGCAGCCTGATTCCCCTATTCTTCTCAGGGTATCGCTAATCATTACTCTAGCTCTTGAAGATCTTATTAACAGCAAGCATGACTAGACTGCACTGTCCTTCTGTAGACTCATGTTTAATAAAGTTACAACCTGTGTCTATTTACAACAAACCCATCTCTCCTGTATGAAAGCTTAGTGGGCCAGCAGTGAATAGTTTTAATACTGTGTTATTTTTCCCACGATTTCCATTTCAGTCATTGCAATGTGGAATTGGCTCTCATTATTCGAATCACCATTGATGCTTAGGTTGAGACTAAACAGATGCCTTCTTTCTCTTTCAACCTACAGCTTTTCTGAAGAAATCGACTGTTGAAACATGATAGACATTTATTTAATTGCTTTCTGAACAAATCCTAAGCCATACAACAGCATCGAGGTCAAGAAGAGAAATTTTTTGGGTTTTACTGACATTTCAGAATGTCATCATTAGATGAGACCTTGAGACATCTGCATGTTAGTTAATGGTTGTTCTGCTTTCATGTATAAAGATCTATTTCTTATAGAAGAGCTAATATATATGAATTTTTCATTTGCTGCCTAGAGATTTCAATAAAAGCTGAGATTTGAATTCAGTGTGTGTTTCATTTATCAAATTATTACTGTAAAGATTTTTTCAGCTGCTTAAAAATGGTCATATACAGAGAATGTACTTCCTCTTTTTTACCTCTCTCAAAAAAGCAGGTTCCGCTGAATGAGAGCTACGGTTTAGTATATAAAGGCTTCTCAGTTTTGTCATATTTTTAGCTCTGCTCATCTAATAAGATGAATAACCTCGAAACCTGTAGCATTAAACATAAAAAAAATTCTAACTTGTTTGAGCCACTGTTACACCAGGAGATAAGAGTCCTTGCGCATATATTACATACATCATCCCGGCTGTCAGAAGATGGCTCTCATGTTTGATTTAAGATTATGGATCAGAGGCCACTTGCTTCCCCTTAAGTAATAATAATAAATATGTTAATACTTTTAGTGTCATTATTAATTCCTTATTTGTGAACACTCGGAGACAGGTTGAAGCGCTGTGCTTTGAAGACAGGATTTGAAGATGAGCTATTCCCAAGGAGAACAGGGAAGCCAAAATTGTGTGCTTAAGGCACCGTCACTTCAGTGTGGGAGAACAAGTCCTCTTCCACATATGAGGACGACAGACAGGGGCATTAAGACAAAGTGCTGTTTGGGACAGCTTTCTTTCACAAGCAGCAAGGACTTGATTCTCATTTAACTTCCTCCATGCTAACTTCCACTTCGCCTTCAGTTCCCATCTAAGGACGCATCCTTACCAGCTTTAGACAAGATCCTCTTTGGGACTATACACCCCATGTGTCATCCAAGGACAGATATTTGAGATCTGATGCAACAAATCTACACATGTTAAGTGGTAGTAATTCAAATCAAGTTATTAACTTATATTTTAATTTCAAGCATATTAATTTAAAATACCTAGTTATCAAACACATGTACATGTGTTTATTTTTACTGCATCAAATTGCTAGGATTGTTCATCACCATAGGAACCTACTGTAACACTCATATAAGAAATTCTGTTCTTTGTTAGTACATTAACCTTCTTGTTCTTTTAATTTGGATTTCAAAACAAAGCCATTTCAACATGCCAAGTGACTGAATGAAATGTATTATAAATTCGTGGCAAATGATGTCGCAAAACACATTCCAGTGTAACAATGCAGATATATTAGGAATAGTTTAGGATGTAATACTGTATGTTAGGTTGAAAAACATCCCTGGATGATGGAAATTATCTGAGCTGTCTGATGGAAACTGAGAAGTTAAGAAATTCCTCACTAATTGTCATGTGCCGTGAGCACACGTGTTTTGCAAGATAATAAGAAGCTCATTGAAAAGTTCATAAAAATTAAGGAGAATGGGAAATCGTGTGAGGCAAAGATATCCAGACAAAAGACTGGTCAGAACCTCATTACTGGAGCTTTGAAAACTAGACTGGAAGAAACCCCTAAGGTCACATCCAGGCTGTCAGACAAAGCAGTGCAGAGAAGCAATTGAAGACCTGGGGCAGTAGTCCCCTATTCCAGCCTACGCTGGAGCACTATCTGGATTTAGCAGCTCAGCTGCAGGTGCAGTGTAGTCCCATTAGCCTCACTGTGTCTACAGTAATAAATCTGACTTGACTTTGTGTAGCTTGGAGGTCCCTATAGTGTGCTCCCGTCCACTTGCTGCTCTAGGTTTAATACAGATGGCTTCAATTTAAATACAGCGCGTCTTCCGACAGGGCTTGAAGGGGTAACGAAGGAACTAATGCAAGAGAAACGATCTACCCTACATGACTATTCTCTGGGACTGCACCACTGTTTCTATCATTTTTCAGCTGGAATTTACAACATTTTCTCATTTGTTTCAGTGAAACACATCGTAACACCTTCCTGAGTGGAGACAAAGGTAGGAAGGCTGCCTGGCTATGACACAGCCTTCCACCCTTTTGCTAAAACAAATCCTGACTTTGGCTAAGGCCCTGCAGCTGAAAGCAAACTGCCTGCTCCTTACACTCGTACAGACCCAGGGATGCTCAGTGCGGGCACTACAGGCCACTGCTGCTGTTGCTTTTGCAGACTTGCAGGCTGTAAGGGATACAAAACACCAAAATATTCAAACCGGTGCTCAAGTTCTTACGTTTATCTTGTCTCTGTTCTTCTGTAACATGGTTTTTTCTGGGAAGTTCGATTAGATGCAACTAGTGATGTCCAGATGCAGAGGTTCCTGAAATCCTTCCACTGTTTTATATAGGTTTTGGATCCAGGCCTAAGTTTAGGCAAGTCTTTACCAAGGGAAAATTGTTAAAAACCTAAGTCGCAGACTTTATAGCCATATTAATTATCTAGCTAAGCAGCCACTACTATCTCACACTCCAGAGAATGCTGCTTACCAGGAGTCAAAGATTATGGCTGTAACTGCATTTTTATAATCTATAAAACCGGACATGCAGAAACTATAGAAGGAAATTTCAGTAATTAAAGCATAGTTCTCCTACTTAACTGCAAAGCATCATTAAAATCTAACGAAACTGTAGTGGAATAATATAGGATTCTGGCTTAACTGCAAGGAGATAAATGCAAACGAAAGTTGAATTTTCACATGGGTTTGAGTTTACACAATAGGACTAAATGCATTTACAGTAGTTTACAATGTAAAATCTCACTTTTAACACTATGAATCAGCATTGGGAAGTTAGGGTATTAGTGTATAAGAAGTTAAGATATTAAAGAATGTGGCATACCAAAGCACAAGAACCAAAGAAATCAAAATCCTTGTTACTTAAAATAGTTGTATTTGTGATGGTAAACCAAATTTCACAGCAGATGATTAACAGGATAACTGCTGTTGCATCAGCATGATGTAAGACTAAATTTTTCAGTGTAACGACTTCATCTTGGCATATCTGAACAAGCTGTATCATCATCCCATATTACACGGTAGATTCAACTGAAACAAGAACTTCGAAGCTCGGCAAGCACTAGGCGTTTTAAGACATTAATCTTCCATGATGCTTCCTTGCCCTCCCTCTGACACTTCCCTATTAAGTCCTTAGGAGAGAAATCTTCATGGAAACTGGAGCTTGAATGCCTGATTTCAGCTGATGTGTAGCAGGTCCACATAAGCCACAGGAGCATCACCAATCTCCATTGACCAAAAAGATAGACCTAAAACTGTTATATCTTACCTAAATTCAAGGTATTGCAGGTGGAAACCCTCCCATCTGACTTCAGCTCTCTAAAACATCCAAGGCCAGACAGACTCACTGCACATACCATGGAGAAAGAGAGGCCCTGAGGACAATTCACTTGGTTGGCACACAATGAATCACTCTCCAAAGATGACCTTCTCCTGTAATCAGCCTTTGAGGAACTAAATGACCAGTCCTTTATGAGGGCTGAAGTCCTGTAGGACTTCTACCCTGCGTGGATGCCAGCAGTGCCACACTTTCTGTACCTCCCTAACAAAGGCCTTACGTTCTAGCCAAGAGATTTTAGCTCAAAGAGATCAATCTCTACTGCCATTAAATCCTATACTAATTATGCTGATGGATATGTCGATGTCCTGGGCATCAGCAAAAGGTCCAAGTCAACCAAACTAATTTCATTGCAATTCACAGATGCCAATACTTTTCAGAATAATACTGATGTAGGTTAGACACCAAATTATGTTGTCGGACTAATTTGAAGACCAATTTCATGTTGATTTCAATAGTTAAGTACATTAAAATTATTTAGTATTTAGTCAAAGTAAGACTGGAAAGCAGAAAACATTTACCATAATAAAAAATACAGGCATATTTCCAAAGCAGCAAAATGGTCCTTGTTTCAAAACATCCAGTTTTTGATCCAAACACAAACACAATAATGGAGTAGCATGCAGTTAAGAATTTGTTAGTAAGTTATATGCTGTTATACAGTCCGGTTTCTAAGAAAGTACACAATGGACACAAACTCTTGCTATCTAAATTGTTACCTCATGTACTCATACCTTCTCTGTGTCAATTCCTTTAGACATGGACCAGGTTGAGACAATATAATCCATGACTCTTTCACTAAGGCCTTTTGGGACTTGATATAATTTTAGGAAATCCCTCACATTGTTCAGCATCTCATGGTATCGGTTGGTGTTGGCATACATTTGCTGGAAAATGGTGGTGACATTTCCAAAAATAGTTGCATAAAGAAGAGCTGTAAAAAATCAAAGGTAATTAAAAATAAATATGAATGCTCCAGTAAATGCTACTCAGAATTCAAGGATAACGTCAAAGAACTTTATGTATGGTTACAAATTACCGCAAATCCATAGGTGTAAAATGAAAATTTCTGTTTATGCACACACACAAATACATGTACAGTTATTTATTGAATTTACTCATACAACTCATACAGCCACTCAGTGTGCATCAATTTACAAAATCTGTCATACAGATAATGTCCACACATGGAGTTATTTAAAAACAGCCAGTGCATTTTAACTCTATACCCTATACTAATCCAAACTAATTTTCAAATGTAGCTTCAGCCTGCCAGTAAACCTTGAAGATACTATCCAAAGAATCATGTGGATGTTCTGTAAGACTGTCTTAGCTGGCACGTGCTATGGGTAGAGAATGGTCTCAGCCCCAAACAAGAAATGAAATGGAGAAGAAAGGAACCAGGGAAGCCTGGCAAGGGATTTCTGTACAAATGGGGTCCTGTGTCAATGACCAAGACGTGCACAAGAAAGATTCGGAGTGGCACTTCACAGTCCAATTTCACAGGCTGCCCCAGCAGATCAGTTGCATATGTCATGTTAACTCTAGATGCCAGCCGCTAATGATTCCAAAGAGAGAAAAATTGGATTAGCAAATAATAGAAAGTCCCATTGCTGATGGGATTTGACTTGGGCAGGAGGAGGACGTGGTAGAGTAGGAAGCACTACCTCAAACCCACTCCCAGAGTTACCTTCTCTTCTGGTTTGATTCTCCCCTTTCCAAACATGCTGTTACTGTCAAGCTCAGCCAGTTGGGTTGTGCAACACCAAAGAACGACACGCCGTATTCAAGGAAATCACGTTTTAAGTAAGCCTTTCCAACTGAAAAGGCATCAACCTCAGTATACTATTAGAAGTGTGATGCAGTGAACACTGTCTGATGGAAAACCGTTGGTTTCTGAAGCCTAAATTCAGCAAAGCATTTAGGCAAAAACTTGAATGCACACCTTTACTAGTGCTGTCTTGAATAGTGCTAGATTGAAAGACGCTTTTAAAGTCAAGCAAGTTTAAGGTGCCTTATTGAGTCACAATGTAATTACCCTTGCAAGCAAGCCCCAAATGACATTCTTCCATTAGGCATTACAGATCTTGCAGAAAAGAGAATTATTCTGGTATCTCACAGCACCAATGTGCAGCACTACTTCTGCTCTTGGCATTATCAAACACACAGAAATGCGCCTGTCATTTTTAATAGTCTTTGCTCGGAGGTACTTTATATCAGAATGCAGCTATGTATTTCCATACTGCTTTTTAGACAAACAACTGCAGCCTACAAATGGCAAGAAATAACTCACTCTGAAAGGAAAAAATGCCTTCCATCTCTCAGTGCATAATGTCTTCCCTCCACACAACATATTTCTACCTCGTTCCAAAAAACTCACTTTGTTTCATACTAATTTACTACTGTTCATCACCCCTATTTGAGAGGTGGCATTTTTAAAGAAGCACGGTGCTTTCCTAAAACCTGTTGAAATAGAAAAAAATGTACTTCCATTTCTCACAGTGCTTTTGATTATGTCCATGTAAAATGTAGACGCTGAAGTTCATCAGAAATAGGATGTTCATTGTTTTATCAAAGTCTTGGGATTTTTCGTCTCAACACACAGATTAAAGAAGTTCACACAATGTGTAGCAAGAATGAACACGAGGTTTTAGTTTTCAAAAACACAGTAGATTAATACTCTATGTGATGTCCAGGAATAAAGCCCGTCACGAGGGTAGTTTTTTTTCCTTGCTTTACTGATCGTTGTATCACATCTGCTAGCTACTGAAAGGTTTTCTCTACCTCTGTATCCATTCAATATTTATCAACACTCACTCAGAGTATAAGAGTATGTGGATTAAAAGAGTCTAGACGGATGAATGCCACCTGACTTTTTTCTTTCTTCTTTTTTCAGCTTTCTCCACTCTCTTGGACTTTTGTAGTAGGACAAACTTGATGAAGTGTCACTTCAAAGTGCAACATCCCTCACCTATCTGAAGAACAGTTGCTGATTTATCATGAACTCAGCTCATCAGATACGTCAGTGCACAATATCTTGTCCTGCCCTCTGATGTTAGATGCACTCACAAATTACTATGACTATAAATGTAAAGAGAAGCACTAACTGTCCCCAGACTGCTGTCTTTCTGCATGAGTAAAATTTACTACAGCTGGACTGCATATGCAGTTACAATGCATACAACCAACCCAACTGGCCATGCAAACCTACACAGAAGACACAGGCTAACTAAAAAATGTGACACAGTGCCCTGTGAGGTTGGGAAAAAAAGACATTCAACTGTGACACCTGACAGGTTGGAAATAGCTAACGACGCCACGGTGAAAACAGCTTGTCTGAAGCAACTGGCACATGTCACCTTGTCTGCAAAAAAATGACTCTTTGGCAGAGACAAGTTGTAGAAAAAAATCAGCCAGAAAAGAAATTCCAGTTTTGTGTCTCCTAATACAGGGTCCTAGAAAGTTGTACTTAAAAATAGTATGTTTGTTAAAGAAATTCAGGACAGAATAAATCATTGGATCAAGCCTGCAAAATAGCTGGAAGCATTACTCAGCAGTACCTCACTAAGCCAGAATTCACGAGCCTACACACTGTAAAGTCTGCACAGACAAAACCAACATTACCCTTCTGTTGGAAATCAAAGCCTTCCTTTGCCTCCTATTGGAAACAGTAAAGACACATGGTTGAGTTCATCTAAATATTCCACTTCTCTTACAGGTTACTGCATGGGGGGAAAACAGTAAAGACACATGGTTGAGTTCATCTAAATATTCCACTTCTCTTACAGATTACTGCTTGAGGGGGGTCTCTGGCAAACATTTAAAGGGAATCTACTTAGATATTCACAGCTTTGAGGCTGTGCCTCAAAGACTCTCCTCACTCATGGTGCTTCCCTACGCCAGCACTGGTAGCTGCTGGGACCAGTTTGCTGGTTTTGCAGGGAGAGCACACTTTTCATAGTTTGGCCTGGAAAATCCCCCTCTCTGTCAACCAGCTCCCCATCCCTGTTCTCTGTACGATACTTAGAAAAAAATTTTAAAAAGCTACTGTTTATTGTTTTGCCGGTCTTGGCATGCAAATGTTTGTGCTGATAAAGAAATAATAAATATGTAATATAATGCGCATTGCATTTGTTGCACCTGTTGTGACACCATTCTACAGGGAAAGGGTCCTGTGCTTGGGAGGGTCTAATGAGCAGAGGTTAGTCTCCCCTAAAAATATAAGTTACCTGCCTTTGCTCTTCCCCATCCAAATTTAGGCTGGGGTAATTGCATTATCTGCAAACACGACAGAGATGGACCAGAACAAAGATGTGAGCTGGATCAGCTCCTTAACTGGCAGAGATGTCTCAGCTCAGGGAGCCGACCATGTCCAGAGCACACTGCATTCCCTGTGCACATAAGCACGTGTGCAGGCACATGCACACACATGGATGCACTGGCAAGCACCTAATGCCAAGGCCAACTTTACAAGATACAAAAAGGTTAAGTGCCAGATCCTGCACTTCGGTCACAACAACCCCATGCAACACTACGCTTGGGGAAGAGC